GTACCTTCGCGTGCAGCGGCCGGGGAGGGGTCTGGCGGCGTGACAGGCTGCAGCCTGAAGACACAGCGGTACAGCGGGCACGCGGAACCCACAGCCGCCGTGGATGACACATGCCGCATGCAAACACCGCAAACAGCCAGCAGCACGCGAGGACATCTTACGCCGACAGCATCCATCAGCATGGATATCATGATGCCAGATGAGATCACAGAAGCAGTCACACTGACGGCGAGACATCAGCCAGCATGCAAGCCTGTCACGACCGAGGTCCATGTTAGCCCTCCACCTGCTCGTCTCCTCAGATCGCAGTCATGCCTCGAGCGCCGTGTTTAGCGCGTCAGGTGATGCTGATAGTCACGGGTTCAGCCACGTACCCCCATCTACAAGACCCGCCTGCTGAGTCAATCCAACGCGTTGCTCGTGTCCTTGGATGCTGGAGACTGGTATGTGCTCTAGGTTGCTGGAACCACTAATCTTTCGCATTATGGCTAGGCTCGATTTCTATTCCGCTGAAGCCGTCCACCGCGATCAACACAGCACAAAAACAATTATTTGAATTAGGCCACATGTTGTATAACTCCTGCCTGTCGAGCAGACAATAATCGTGCAATAATCCATCGTGAGAAGGAATATCAGGGTCTGGTATCTGAACAGTATCCCGTGCTGGGGAGAGGGATTAAGCTTGGTATCCGACGCCGACTCTCGACCAAATATAAATGCCTCTACGCCTTCTTCTTCGCCGAAGCCTTGGCCTTCGCAGCCTTTTTCCTGCTGCTCCGGATCATCACAATTCCCAAGAATGAGCCTACGACGGCGGAGCCCAGGATCGTGAGAATCACGGGTATCCGAATCGCCCAGACGCGTGGAGGGAAAAGGTCATGAAGAGGATGGCCAGGGTCGACAAAAGGCTAGTAAGCGTCAATAAATCTCCTAGGTTCAATGGCATGGGCGGTGTTGTCTCTGCGTACCATCAACAGCGTCCATGCTGTGTAGTAAAGGAAGATCGCAGTTGCGACCAAAAGCATGACGGACCCAACAAGTGGACCGAGCTGTCGAGGAATCCCCGGTCAGCTTTCTCGACGTGATTCGGAGACAGGGGAAAACTCGTACCATAATGGCTGTAAAACGGGGCTCTGGAAATGTAGATTTGCAACAGAGAGCCTGGCGCGCACAAGCTATGGGCGTGCTGCGCCCAACTTTTGTCGCTCAGGAGAGCTCCAGCTTGGCCTCTCCTGTGGTCACGTGAAGCTTAAAACGCCTGGGTGGCGCGCCAAGGCGTCGCTGCCTGCCTCCGACAATCTTCATTTCTGCTCGACACAACCAAGGTCTGGCGGAGAGGCCTTGCCCTTTGCAACGCCTCGCCGGTTTACATCGACAAGATGTCAGATCCGGTCATGCTGCAGTCCGCTGTGCGCGTGCCGACTCCCCCACCAGGGACGTCGTACTCGCCGCAGCCTTCAGGCGCGCGCAAGCGATCACCTCCATCTCGCTCACCGTCTCCAGACCGTCGACGGTCGCCTCCGACAGGGGATTCACGTGATACTGCGGATGTTCCTCATATCGACTCAGATCGCGCGCTGGAGAGAGAGCGTCAGCTGGCAGAGCGGCTCCGCCAGCATGAGAAGAAGGAAGCACCTCGCAAACCGCTGACGGAGGAGGAAAAGCAGGCAGCGGCCAAGGCTGAATACGAGAGATTGATGAACATGCGATCTGGTGGCACTTATATTCCTCCGGCTCGTCTGCGCGCTCTGCAGGCTCAGATCACCGACAAGTCCAGCAAGGAATATCAGCGGATGGCATGGGAGGCGCTGAAGAAGTCGATCAACGGTCTGATCAACAAGGTCAATGTCTCCAACATCAAGCACATCGTGCCAGAACTTTTCGGCGAGAACCTGATTCGCGGGCGAGGCCTCTTCTGCCGGAGCATTATGAAGGCACAAGCTGCGAGTTTGCCGTTTACGCCGATTTACGCCGCGCTGGCTGCCATTGTCAACACGAAGCTGCCTCAGGTTGGCGAACTCCTGATCAACCGGTTGATTGTCCAGTTTCGAAAGGCTTTCAAGAGGAACGACAAGGCGGTTTGTATATCATCCACCACGTTCATCGCACACCTGTGCAATCAACAGGTTGTCCACGAGATGCTACCGGCCCAGATGCTGCTGCTTTTACTCCACAAGCCCACAGATGACAGCGTTGAAATCGCCGTTGGCCTTACGAGAGAGGTTGGGCAGCATTTAGAGGAGATGAGCGGCCCTATTGCCCTGGCCGTGTTTGATCAATTTAGAAACATTCTGCACGAGGCCGATATCGACAAGAGGGTGCAGTACATGATTGAGGTCTTGTTTCAGGTTCGCAAGGACCGGTGGAAGGATAACCCCGCAATTCGTGAGGAGCTCGATCTCATCGAAGAAGAGGATCAAATCACCCATCGCATTGGCCTCGACGATGAAATCGACCCCCAGGAAGGCCTCAATGTCTTCAAGTACGACCCACAATGGGAGGAGCACGAGGAGGCGTACAAGAAATTGAAGGCGGAGATCCTCGGAGAAGGGAGCGAGTACGAGGACGAGGACGAGTCTGACGAAAGCTCTGAAGAGTCCGAAGCGGAGGAAGACCGGCTGATGGACATCAAAGACCAGAGCAACACGGATCTGGTCAATCTTCGGCGGACGATATACTTGACGATCATGTCGAGTATGGATTTTGAAGAATGTTGCCACAAGTTGATGAAGATCTCCCTTCCTCCTGGCAAGGAACCGGAGCTGCCTTCCATGATTATCGAATGTTGCTCGCAAGAACGGACGTATTCCAAGTTCTATGGCTTGATCGGAGAGAGGTTTGCGAAGCTCAACCGTCTCTGGTGTGACCTGTTCGAGGAGTCCTTTGCGAAATACTATGATACCATTCACCGCTACGAAACCAACCGGCTGCGCAACATTGCGCGCTTCTTTGGCCACATACTGAGCACTGACGCGATTGGGTGGCATGTGCTCTCCATCATCCACCTGAACGAGGACGAGACGACTTCGAGCAGTCGTATTTTCATTAAGATCCTGTTCCAGGATCTCGCAGAGCATCTCGGCTTGCCGAAGCTGAGGGAACGGCTGAATGATCCGATCCTTCGGCCCAGCTTTGACGGTATTTTCCCGATGGACAACCCGCGCAATACGCGGTTCTCCATCAACTACTTCACCAGTATCGGAATGGGTCTTCTCACGGAGGAAATGCGCGAGCATCTCAAGAACCTTCCCAAGCCGACCATCCCCACCTTGCCTGCGGCGAGGGACGAGTCCGATGCGGAATCGGTCAGTTCTTACTCAAGCTATTCCAGCTACTCCTCCTACACTGGTTCCTCTCGATCGTACTCTCGTTCTCGTTCGCCGTCTCGTGATCGGTCCGTCAGTCGTGGGAGATCATACACACCGTCTCGTTCCGCGAGTAGATCGACTCGTTCACGGAGCTATAGTTATACCCCGTCTCGGTCGCCGACACCGGACGGGCGGTCCCGTCGACGTGCCGCTTCATACAGCCGGTCGCCGACGCCGCCTCGTCGACGAGGACGATCGGAGTCATACACGCCACCACCGAGGGATGGTCGCCGACGTGCTGCTTCGTACAGCCGGTC